GGGGGAGGGGGGACTCTATATAATATACTTTTGTGTGTATATATTTATATATACATGTGTGTATATATATATATGTATGCATAGATATTCTCTATTTTGACTCTATATAGAAGCCTGAATAGCACCAGATACCAATATAGTTATAGTGGTATATATATATATGATATATTCTTTTATATGTATATATGTACATACATAAACCCCTGAAGACCAACATATATATATATATATCCACGAGGATCCCAAAGTGGCAGAGCTGTTCCGCTTGGTGGAGATCAAGCGTGCTGAGTTCGAAGCCCGGGCTCTCCTGGATCAGGAGGAGGATTGTGAAGATGATGAGGAGATGTTTGAAGCTGACGATGCTATGCCTGCAGCGCCAGCTGCGACCGAAGAGCCCCCAGCAGGCTCCGGTCATGCTGCTGTTGAGCTTGGTGATGCCTCGATGGGTGAAGGTGGTGAAGTGGTGAATGATGAGAATGATGAGATGGTGGAGCCACCGCCCCCGGTGCACCGGCACCGAAGCAAGGCTTCAAGTGCAGAGCTGCATGCTGAGTCAACTTTGTCTCTGCCCTCCACTGATGATCTTGGTGATGCCTTCGAAATGCCGGCCATGACTGATGAGCAGAAAGCGGAGCTAGCAGAAGTTTTGGCACAGATTCGGCAGCTGCAACTTCAGTTCGCCCCCAAGTTGTATCGTGCATTTTGTGATAGAACCATGCACCCCCCCTCCCCAAGACAATAAAACAAGAGCCCGGGTTTGTGCAAGGCAAGCAGAAGGTGCGACCCCCGTGGACGAGCCGGAGGTGGTTGCTGCAGCCGGCAAAGGCCAGCCCACGGCCTTTGCAAACCATTTCAGGAGCCGACCCGTTTCTATCATTGTATCCTTCATCCCAGGCCGTGGAGATGCTGGGGATGGTGCCCCACTTCCGAACCCCGATGAGGCTACTGGGTTTGTTTATATATATATATATATATGGGTTCAAAATAAATAGTATTTCCAACTTATATATAGATATATATATATATATGTATATGGCTTATATATCTGTTCTTGGTTTATCCCAGGCTACCTGACGGGGTTTGGTTTGGATGATGCCATCAGGTGGATACGCAGCTCATCATCGAGGAGCCGGTTGAGCCTGCAGTTGCTCCGAGCCCGGTGGAATCCGTGAACCCCCCAACCACCGTTGCTACCCCGAGCCCTGCAAAGATCGAGCCGCCGGTCATGACTCCTGACAAGGCACAAACCACACAATCCTGTGAAGTCATGCATTATAAGGCCATGCATAAGTTTGTGAGTCGAAGCCTTTGTGTGGACAGGTGCCCATGGCCAAAGTGACTCCGGCCATGCAGCGTGAGATGGCGACCGCGAAGCGTGTGAAGAACAGGCGCGGGCCGGGGAAGCCCAAGGCTAAGGTGACCAAGAAGAACAGCCGGAGATGGGGTCGCAAGAAGGCCCTTTTGCGGTCCAGATCGTCCTTGTCGGAGCCTGCGGATGACCCGGCCAAGGCCAGCGGTGATGATGATATGGGTGCAAGTGGCAAGGATGATGCGGATCCGGCCGAGAAGCTGGAGCCGAAGGCAAAGGCCAAAGCCAAGGCCCGTGGGGCGAAGAAGTCCAAGGACAAGGCCCCGGCAGAGAAGCCCAAGACCAGGGCAGAGAAGGCCGAGACCACAGCAGAGAAGCCCAAGACCAAGGCAGAGAAGGCCGAGACCACAGCAGAGAAGCCCAAGACCAGGGCAGAGAAGCTCAAGACCACAGCAGAGAAGCCCAAGCCGAAGGGCAAAGCGAAGCCCAAAGCGAAGGCCAAATCCAGCAAGGAGGCGGCCCCTGCCGAGCCGGAGGAGAACGAAGTCTTGGGCAGCTCCGTGAAGCAGCGCCGGGTGGATTTGGGTGGCAGGCGCTGGGTGTACGAGATTCTGCCAGGGCAGACGCTGGGTTGCGCAGGATGCCGGTACTCGTTTGGTGGCTGTGCAAGCTGCCGCAAGGAATGCTTCCGAGGCAAGAATGCGGAGGCCTTTGCCCAGACCCATGAATATGTGGTGGGCCTTTCGTGGATCAACGATGACGGTGCGCCCGAGACCGAGAAGGCCGAAGGCAGCAAGAAGCGCAAGCGCAAGGGCGGGGCCAGTGTGTGAGCGGGATGGTTGGTTTGTCTTCCAGGCCACTCGTGTTGACCAGAAGTCATGTTTTCTCTTAAGACAATAAAACTTGGAATTTTCTGGGTACATAGGATCGTCCTTAAAATTACACATATATACGGGGTCACATGGTTCAATGCAATGTAGGCTTCCACGTGTCTGTGAGATTTGCACTTTATCCCAAAACCGTGAATCGCCCACCTCTGGAGTGAAGTCCTGCCTCTCCAATCCCAGGTACGACACCAGCTGTCGCTTCAGCTTCGCCGTGGCCTTCACCACGCACAGAGAGCTGAGATCTTTCAATCTTTCAAGGAAGTGGGATGGGCAGGGATACCCTTGCCCGGGTGTGTTGCTTTCACTGCTTGGTTCGAGGTCTGCTGCAGCCTTTCTTTGGGTCACTGAATCATATATACTGACCGTTAAGTCTGTAACCTACATAATCCGATAGGCTTGGAAGGCCTGCTGTAGCCTTGGGCTTTAGATTGCAGTGATTGGTTCCAAGCTTTCACAAAGGCTTCTTTTGTGGGCCAGGGGAATCCGATCAATATGCGACTCTTCGCAATGTGTGCGTGCTGCAAAATACAGATCATCTGCTCATTGCAAGTGCATTGCTTGTGCAGGCAGACGCACGCACACACACACACACAGACACACACACAGACACACACACACACACACGTGCACGCACACACACACACACATACACACGCACACACACACTCACACACACACACACGCACACACACACACACACTCTCACACACACACACGTCCACACACACACACACACGCACACACACACACACACTGCCGACACACACACACACACGTATACTTCTTCTGAGCAATGCCCGTTGTGACCATTCTCCTCCACCCTGCCTTCATGACAGGTTCGCTGTCTACGATGCAATGAGCACGGCCTGGCGAAAGCGAAGGCACGAGGAAGCACCAGGTCAGCCTCCTGTGCGCTGTTTTGCTCTGCCCTGTGTGCCTGAAGCTGGGTTCTTATCAACACGTTGCTCTCACATGCAGCTGTGACTCAAGGGGTGCCACATGTGTTCGTCCGACTACAGTCATGGCCATGCCTAGGGAGAAGTTTTTGCTCTTGCTGCAACAGCTATGGGCAATCCGGGCCCCTGGTGTCCTTTGGACGCATCATCATCCTATAGATTCCGCAAGCTAATGTAGCCATCCTAACACAAGCCCTGCATGCCTGCTCCGAGGTTTTGGTCTTGACTGTCGTTCTTCTTGCCCACACGGACGGCCTCCAGTGGGATGAGGCCACATACGAGTATAGCAAGTTTGGCTTCGGAGTCGTTGCTGTTCGTTCTGTGGATCCTTCAGGTCTGGCAGTTTGTGGAAGTGTTTGCAGGGAAGGCTGTGCTCTCGAAGTGCATACAAGAAGCAGGCTACGTCACGGCCTCTTTCGATATCTTGTATTGGCAGAAGCACTTGGATGCACGACGAGCACAGGGTAAACCAATCAAGTGCAAGGGCAATCCTATGGACCTCCTATCACCTGCTGGTTTCGGGCCCCCCAGATGCACACCTTTTAGGACAGTGGATGCTTATACTTGTTGCAAACATGAGCAGCAAACTGTGCTGGCCTAGGTTGCTATTGTCAACAATTCTGCGAGCCCAGCCACACTGCCTGGTTGTGACCTTCGGAGTAGTGTGTAGCTCTTTCGTCGCTATATCCCAGGGATCTACAAGGCGATCTTATTGGCTTCCCAAAGGCGACGAATCCGGGCCTTCCGTTCAATACGGGAACCTTTTGGCGTGCCGGACCTGGGCTTAGGATTTGGGTTTAGAGGGCCTATTGTAATATTGACTTTTGGGTCTTCTGTCTCTATGTGGGTCTGCCTCTACCTCTATATGTCTATATAAGAATAACTTAGATATGTGTTTCTATATCTGCATACTAAGCCTTGAAAACCCTTTAACCTAAACCCTGTATACATGCTGTATACCCTATATAAACCTAAATATATACAGCCCATATAACCCTAAACCCTATGAATCCTATCTCAAGCATAAAAGAAATTCTTGGATAACTGATATATATATATACACATATGTTAGTATAACATATGTATATATATATGTAGTATATACATATATATTTAATGATGTATATATACAATATTTCTAATATATTTATATATATATGTTTATAATATGTATGTTAGAAATATATCTACATTTGTGTGTATATATATATATATTATGATTTAGGTCTCGGGTCTGTCGGGTTGTAGGTTATAGAATGTACATTCCATACAGGGTTGAAGGCTGTGCACGGATTTCCCGGGCATTTGCACGAGTTGCCATAAGGATGTTCGGGTTTATAGGGGCTATACGGGGATAAGGAGGTTTAGGGTTGTTGTACGCTTCAGATTAGTGTTGCTTCTTCAGGATGTACCTTTAGCAAGGCCTCAGTGGTGCGCTTGGGGTTTTTTGTGAGTTTAGTTTTCTGGGAGAAGAGGAGCTGCAGCTGGTAGACGACCTTAAATTTGTTCAAGGTATCCTCGAAGCCTCTGAAGTACCCGAATGGCAACCCTAATATCCCCACTAAAACCCAAGCATCCAAACTTTAATCCTATATACCTCGTGCACAAACTATGGAAATCCTGTCGAAGCCTTTCCCTCTGTTTGGCTGCCCAAGACACCCTCGAAGCGAAGCATAGGCCACCCACCTAGCGAAGGAAGGGGATTACTCATTTGGGTTTTCTTTAGAATTGAGATTCAGTCCCCTATACCTAAAACCCCCGTAAACTCCCGGCCCCATCCCCTAACCCCCTCCCTCTCCCTCCCTCTCCGTTCTCTCTCCTTCTCTCTTTTCCTCTCTCTCCCCTCCCTCTCTCTCTCTGGGTCTCTCTCCGTGTCCCTGCTCGCTATTTCTCTCTCTCTCTCTCTCTCTTGCGCTTTCTTTCCCTCTCTCTCTTCCTGCTCCTGTTCCTCTCTCCATCGTGCTCTCTCGCTGTCTCTCTTTCTCTCTTGCTCTCTCTCTTCCTGCCTCTCTGTCTCTTGCCCCTTTGTGGCAGGACTGCTTTAGCGATCATGTTGATCCTGGCCGTCGGAGGGGTCTTTGTCGTGGAACAGCCGAGTTCGTCGCTGCTCTGGAGGCTTCCGCGAATGCAAGAGATTTTGTCTATGACAACAGCTGCTTGGTGGTGCACTACAGATTTGCTATCTGCACCTGTAATTGAACTAAAATATTCCGAAGCCAAGTGGCTTGTATCCTCAACACAAACATGACTATATTGCCGAAACCATACAAAACCTCTAGCTCTAGCTGCCTTAAAAGTGTAGCCTAGACACGACAATGAAGCTCCGGATCCACGCAGCCATTGTCCAGCGATCTTTGAAGCCATAATCCTATACCTAAGCATGCAGGGGATGGGTGTCTTTCAGGGTCGGTGGGTCTTCTGTGGGGTCGCCTTAAGGTCTTCCGACAGTCTTTCTTCATGCGTGTCTTTGGATCATCATCAGCCAAAAGAACGACACTATGGTCCAATTCAAGAGCTATCAGGAAGTTCTCGACAGCTGGGAAGTATCATCCTCATAAAGGAAAACGACGACCCCTAGCGAACCACTATGTCGACCAGAATGGTAAGAGGAAGTTCCAAGGACGCCAGGAGGAGCTAAAGAAATCTCAGTATCTCGACAAGACTGTTGGCATTTGGTTTGTAATCGATCTGTCTGTATTTAGTTGCATATTCCTATCCTCTCCTGCAAAAAAATGCACTGTTCATCTGAGGGCATATCCTCTGGGATTTGGCCGACGATTCTGTCGCTGCATGAAGCTGTTTCATCGTGAGAAAGCACCAGTAAAGACCCTCGAGGCCATCCCTGAAGTGAAGTAGCAGAGCTATAATAAATAGACCCGACCTCATATAATGCATCTTTTGCCCAGGTGCCACCAGCGGCAGACACGATCGAGTCTCGGTTCATCTCGATCAACGACCTGCTGCAGGATTTGTGGCTGGACGCAGAGATGGACTCTGTCCTGGGGTATTTACGGGGCGGGCTGGGCCAGCAGCTCCCTTCTGAGTGGCGCAGAAGGATTCCCCTACGTAGCCAGGAGCGTATTCGGGCCCCTTGAGTCCTTTTCAATACCTGTAGACCAGCCCAAAATCCCACCCACCGGCTTTGGTACTGGTTCCGGTCGACCAAGTTTAGTACTAGAGGGGGTTCCTTTGGCTTTGGTGTCTGGTTTGGGCCTCTTTGGGGGTGTTCGTTTTCAGAGCTATTATAATCCCAAATAGGTTTTTTTTCCGAAATGAAGCCAAACCCGGAATTTCCATCACTTTCCAAAGTGGCGTAAATTCGCGTAGGAAACCCGTAAAGTGGCATAAAAAAGCGTAGGAAACATATGCATAAAATCATCACTTCCTGTTGTCCCTTTTTGGCTGCCTGGAAAGGGTTTGAGGCGCTTTCGTGCGGGGGCAACCAGCCATATAATCATAGTGTGATCAGAACCCAGCTACAATAGCAATCCCTTTCCGGACACCAAACGATCATCATAACAACCCTGGAAGCGGAATTCTCGCTCGTGGGCTGTTTGCACTCGGCTTAATTAGCTTATGGTGTGTGTATAGGCAGGATTACCGGCCTGCATACCTCTAGCAAGCCGCCGTCTGATTCCCAAGCAAAAGAATGGTTGCGACAAGAATGCAAGGAAGCTGTGCATGCAGCCATGCAACGCATTTGTGTGCATGCCGACATGTATACACATGCCCTGTGGTATTATGCAGGGCTCAGAGCTTCAATTTGCAGGCCTCCAGGAGCACATTTTGTGCAGGATGCCACCCAGCAGTAGCAGCGAGCCCTTCGACTCGAAGGTTTCCAAGTCGATGTCTTGTGATACCTTGGCCCGTGGTTTTTCTTGGTTGCGAGAGCAGCAAGTGAACCAGAAGGGTTTTACGGCTGCAGATGCAATCGAAGCAACTTGGCTGCTGTCGCACTATAGGATCCAATGTGCCAACAGGTGTCTCGACAGTCATTGCATGGACTTTCAAATCAGTCAGCCGCCCAAGGTTGCCAAGAGGCGCTTATCGGAGATGAAGCAAGCATCGCCAGCCTCGGCTGCCAGTGGCTACACCCCAGATCCGAAAGCCCTCAAACGTTCCCAACCGGACCGCAAGCCAGCGACCCCGCAGTGCAGCAGAGGTACGGAGCTCGTCTGGAAACCCAAGAACCCTCCCGATTCCGAAACCTCCAAAGCTTCGACGACCTCGCCACCCCCAAGCAGCGAGCCAGACCCGGCCCCGAAAAGCTTGGAATCTGCTCTCGCCGAAGCTGAAAAGGACCACGATTTGTAACCAAACCCGAAAGCCAACACCCCAACCCCCATGCATGTCTTTAATATATATAGAAGTTAAGCTACCATGAACCCCGCCTTGTTTATAAGCTGTTGTCCACCCACGACTCTGAAGATCCTGTACGTGCAACACATATGAAATCTTCCAGTCTATAGCTTCATATAAGTCCAAGCCACCGTTTCAGCACCAGGAGGACGAGGACACCGCAGAGCTGCCGCCTTCGTTCAAGAAGGCCCGTGCTAAAACTACACATTTCCTATGCTAGAGAGAGAGCGCGGGAGAGAGAGAGAGAGAGAGTGCAGTGCTGTTGCAGCAGTTGTGTCTGCCGAACCACAGGGTGCGAAGCCAAGGAAGGAGCCTCTATCATCGTGTTTCCACTTGTCTGGGTTGCTCTTGCACACTGGACCGATCGAATTGTTTGGGATGTTTACTGTTGCCACTTCAAGGAAATCACGCCAGAGCAGCGCAGAGAGCTCAATCTAGCCGCGAGCCTCCGCCGGATGTGTGAGATGAAGAAGAACGGCCGCCTCAACGTTCCAGAATGGGTGCACCAGGACTTCATGAAAGGCGGCACAGCCCGCCAAGTGTTGCTGAAACACTTCCTAGCCTGTGATGGCGACAAGGCTTCTTAAATGCACAGAAGTATACAAGCCTGCATTTGCACTACTGCCGACCGGATTGTATGCATGCTGTTTTGTGAAGCTACAAGGAAATGTTCGTGCATCGTGTCGAGTACCAGCGACGCCGAAGCCGGAAGAACACACTTACCGTGAAGGTTGGTTGGTACAGCAAGGAAAACATGAAGAAACTTTTGGGCTGGACCCCGCATCTGGACTGCACTTATATACTTGTTGCAACAGAACTTGTTTTATGCATGCCTACCTTGTCTGTGGCTCTGCTATATAGAAGCTCCAGACTCCATCTGCGTACCAGGGACCGCATCAAAGCAGCCGTCGACGAATGCAACCTGAACCCGAAGACGTTGGTACGGCTTGGGGCTTATACTGGGCTTGGGCTTCGGGCTTCTACTGATACTGAACGAGTTACCGGGATGGGGCTTCTTGTGAACATCGATCTCTGCTTGCAAGCTGCTGAGGCGGGACAAGTACCAGAAAAAAATCCGGGAGTACTGGGTGGAGACGGGGACGGAAGGTACTTACCAGAAGGAGGATGAGGCAGCCCTGAAGGAAGCATGGGAAGCTGAGGGCGCCTGTGGTGACGAGGTCACCATCGGAGGACCCAACCCTGACGAGCCGCTCGTTGCAGCCTCCGCCGAGGAGGAGGACTCTGAGAGTTCGGAGGAGGAGAAACCCAATCGACCTAAGCCGAGGGGGGGCAAGCCCAGGGGCAGTGGAGGGAAGAAGTCAGATTTGGAGGAGGAAGCAGCCCTGGAGGTGAGAGATTCATTCAACATGCTACTTGTGTTACTAGTATTATTTAAGGTTACTGTCTGTTGTTATGGTTATCTATACGATTAAATTGTTACTACTACCACTGCTGCTCCTGCTGCTGCTACTACTACTACTACTACTACAACTACTACTACTGCTGCTACAGCTACAGCTACGTTGCTGCTGGCTGCTGCTAACACGACTGCTATCTAATCTACTGCTACAAACCATATATATATATATGTATATGTATATATACATGCTATTCTACTGATCCACGAATCTACTGCTGGGGAAAGCTATCGCTGCTGCTGCTGCTGCTGCTGCTGCTGCAGCTACGACGACGCCTACGAGCACCACTGCCACCAGACAGTCGCTTTAGGGGTTTAGGGTTTATAAAGGGATAGGGGTTTAGGGTTTATATAGTTTAGGGTTCAGGGCTTATAAGGCTAAGAGTTTATAGGGCATCATTGAAGTCACTCTCCTAGCAAGCCCATGAGCATGTCTTGCATGCTTGTTACACACTCGTGCAGGTTGGGGCACACATAGCACACATGTATCCTGTCAATTCAAAAGAACTATATGGACTTACAAGTTGCATGTGGTTGTCGCCGTCGTCGAAGTGATAGTAGTAGAAGTAGCAGTAATGGTGTAAGAGTAGTATTATAAGCAGTCGTAGTCGTCGTAGTAGTAGTAGTAGTAGTAGTAGTAGTAGTACTAGCAGCAGCAGCAACAGCAGCAGCAGTAGTAGCTGCAGGAGTAGGAGTAGTAGTCGTAGTAGTAGTAGTAGTACAGTAGTACAGTAGTACAATAGTACAGTAGTACAGTAGTACAGTAGTACAGTAGTATAGTAGCAGGAGCAGTAGCAGTAGCAATAGCAGCAGCAATAGCAGTAGCAGTGCAGTATCAGTAGTAGTAGTAGTAGTAGCAGCAGCAGCAGCAGTAGTAGTAGTAGTAGCAGCAGTAGCAGTAGTAGTAGTAGTAGTAGTCGTCGTCGTCGTCGTCGAAGCAGTAGTAGTACTACTACTAGTAGTACTAGTAGTACTAGTAGTACTAGTAGTACTAGTAGTACTAGTAGTACTAGTAGTACTAGTAGAACTAGGACTAGTAGTAGTGATAGCCGTACCAATAGGAGTCGTCGTAGTTGTAGTATTATACTAAACCCTATAAACCCTAAACCCTATAATGCTCCCACGCACACTCGCTCCGATGTCCAGGCCGTGGAGAACGTGGCCAACGTGATGTCGAATATCCTGCGAACGCAGGCCAAGCTTGATCAGACGTTCGACAAGCTCGGTGCATTGGGAACCGATGAAGCCAAGCAGCCCCTGTTCTGTTTGGTTGTCCCAGCTTTGTGTCTCTTCGATTGTTGTGGTGGTGACTTGCTGGTGTGTTTACGTTTGTTCGGGAGTCTACAAAGGTACCAAGCCGACATCAAGAACCACCGCACTGCCATCATGACCCTGCATGACAAGATGGCGGACCTGAAGTCCTACTTCGATGGCAAGGGTGACATGACTCCAGAGTTTCCCAGCAGCAACAATCCCTATATGTCCTATGTATATGCTAGCCACATGTTTGTAACATCAGACTACCTGAAGCCGACCTATTATCCTAGAACCCATGCACCGACTCACTACTCAGATCAGAAGCCTGTGATCGGAAGCTTTTCACAAGCTGTTCAATTGAGGAAAATCAAGGAGCTCAAGACGATGGTTCAGAAAGTGGAGACTGCGCCTGGAAACTTAGTTCACACAAGTTGTGCTTGAGTCGAAACTGATCGCTTCCAAAGCCCAAAGCCCGGCCTGCTTCCTTAAATATAAGGTGTTCGCGAGCGACCATGGAAGATGTGAAGCTGAAGAAGTCTGTTGCTTAGTGTGTGCACGTATATGAGAGATAAATATTCTGCCGATCCCCCTATTCTGCTCAAATCCTGCCTCGCCCAGGACTGTGCTTCGCGGCAAGAAGGAGGCCCACCTTTCCGAAACACACGCACACGCAACAAGCTGTTCTCCAATCGCACAGGAGCCTGCACCCTCGGGAACCACGAAAGGTGGGAAAGGAGGTTCGTCGGGTGGTGGCAAGGGATCCAAGGGGTCCAATAAAGGTGTCGGCAAAGGCAAGTCGGGTGGAAAGAAGCGCTCTTGAGGACTGATCAGCCCATATGGGTTTAGGATAGGGGTTTAGGGTTTAGGGATATAGTATACTGCACATTTATGTAAAAATTCTTTGCTAATGCACGGTCAGGACGATGCCCAGCCTGCTCTTCTTCTCATCGAGATCGACAACATCCAGCTCCTGCGAGCTGAGGGGTTTGGAGCAGCGGGAACCCTAGGTCGACCCCTATCTTGTCTTATTCTAGCAAATATTGAAAGCTGTTGGGTGTGCAAGATAACACATGTTGACGGGTTCATGCTGTTCGCAATTTGAGCGCACTCTTTAGAAGTGCTTCCTTCTGTAGGATCAGTTCGGCATGCCAACTGATGTTGCCCTATCGCTGACCGATGCTTTCTGCCAAAAGATACAGACTGCTGAGCCTTGAAATCTTGAGTGGCTTATCAAGACAGATGTCGCAGGTGCTGTGTACTCATACATGTTTCGTGTCCTCACCCCGCGCAGATGCATCGGCGGTGTCATCCACGAGATCGGCTGGTCCTGCGGGACGAGCAATTGCACGGGCTTTCTGCAAGGGAGCCCCGTGGATCATTAAGACAGGGACAAGAATGTTGTTTATCGTCCGAGGGTCGTGGGCTATGTTGAGCTTCCCTTGGAAGGCTTGGCTTCTATATCTGCAGGTTTTGTTTATGCTACTTTTCCGAACACTGTTTCTTCCGAACTTCCTATTCTACATTATATAAAAAGATGTATACACACATATAAAAATATATATATATACTTACACTTCTACTTTTATACTTCTTGTTATTTATTTTTTTAACAAAGCCAATAGACAACAGATCAAGGTCAGTGAGCTCGAAGCTTGTGCAATGGTGGCTGGTATCTGGCAAGAGATTGAACATCTTCCAGGTGTTGAAAATATTGCCAGTGCTCAGTTTTTGAAAACTGCCGACCGTTTGGCAAAGACCTCTCATGAGAGCCGTCTGGGTACTGCTATGGAAGACTTCGGGCTTTCTGCAAACATACCTTTGAGCTATGTGGATGTGACAATGAAGCTTCCTCATCCAGTTCTCGGTGTGCGCGACTTTGTCCAATCGTTGTCTTCAGAAAAGCAAATTGACGCGCTGTTCTGTGGACACGACGAGACAGATTTTGCTGATTTCTGGCGAAGATTCAAAACTTTGCAACCGCAGCACCCTGTGTTTGACAAGCACCGCAAGAGGCTGGGACGAGTGATCCCTATATGGGGTCATGCCGATGAAGGCACGTCGCAGAAGAAGCGGGCTCTAATGATTTTGCAGTGGCAGCCAATCTTGGGTTATGGAACCTCCAGGGGTGGTACAGGTCTCAACTATGTCGGTGCCAGTGTTACAACCCGTTTCCTTTACTCAGTGATGGCCGGCAGGTTGTACAACAGTACACTTTCAGCCAAAAAAACGGCTGAAATTATTGGTCTCAGCTTTTGCACGAGATGTCGGCTCCTGCTTCGACTGTCCTGTTCGTGTGGTGCATGAAGGTGAGATCAAGGACGTGTTTCTGTGCATGATCGGCCTCAAGGGGGACTGGCCGGCACTCGCCAAGCTGGGCAATCTTTCCCGGCATCATGGCCGAAACACCTGGGTGAACATGGACGGATACGGAATCTGCCACCTGTGCAACGGGGGGCGACTGGGCCATGAATGGCACGACGTGAGCTACAACAATATGCAGAAAATGAAAGAGGATGTGCCACCGCCATGGAGCAGACCATCTGATTTGATTTCGCTCATACCGCACAGCCCATCCCATGAGCCTGACTTTTACAAGGTGGATGTTTTTCACAATCTCCACAAGGGCCTGCTGGCAGATGCAGCAGCCAATGCGATCGATGCTTGGTTATGTGATATAATTTCGTGTTTTGTTAAGTAAACTATATGATAAGCTTGTTGTAACTCTATTTTTCGATTCATACCATACAGATGGCCTTCTACGACTACAAACTTTTTGGTGTGACGTCGTTCGAGCGAATGTTAACCTTCGTCTACGAGGATGTGCGACAGTTCTGCAAGGCTCGGGGCTTGGAGTTGCACATGAATGCCCTGACGAAGAATGCTCTGGGATTGCCACGTAGCACGGACTTTCCAGCAGGGCCATTTGTCTAATCCAGGAATAACCTTTGTTATCCAAGTATCGTTCTCTTGTTGGTTCTACAAAGTCTACACTAAATTAGGGTTATATACGTCCCTGTAAATCCCAGAAACAACAACCAATACATGTTGCCCTAAAGCCCGGAGGAGTTGGTTTAAAGGAAATGACACTACCACGCTCTGTATTTATTTCCAAGCCAAGCTTCCGGAAATGATTGCAGCAGTGGCCGATGATTCGGGAGGACGGCTTTATCTGGAACATATGTTCAAAGTTTTCTTCTGCGCAAACAAGTTTATGAGATTGCTGTACAATGCAGGCCTTTGGATCAAACAGGCCACCCGGAAGCGGCTCATCGAATCTTGTGCGGGTCTGTTGGACAACTTTGAGATATGTGCTCGGATTGCTTTCCACAATGACCTCTGCAGATTCAAGATGCAACCCAAGTATCACATGACTGGTGAGCTGCTGCACGCATTCAGGTCCGATGAGTTCTACAACAGAGAAACCATGAATCCACTGAGTTTCGCGACTCAAATGGATGAGGACTTCGTGGGAAAGATTGCAACCCTTTCCCGAAGTGTATCTTCAAGGACACTTCATGAAAAAACCCTGCGCCGATATCTGCTGGTATTGAAGCAACACTGGGACTGATCCCTGCGGGTCCTTGCCGCCCTCGAAGTCATACCGAGCATCCGGATGCGTGAAGAAACACTCGGAGCTTTAAGTTTTCAGGGTGTCGGGTCATCTTTATGGTAGTTGGTGGGCTTTCTAGCTCCAAGAATAGGTTTAAATTACGGGGCAGTGTAGTGTCGATGGTATTTGTTCCGAGCCATATAGCATCAGGCCCCGAGCATCACCCAAAACAGGTGCCCCCAGAAATCCATCACTTTCGCCGGTGGCGTAAATCAACCCTGGAACTTGTCACTTCCGATAGTTGCTACAGAAGAATGCACACTAGGCTTTCCAGGTAGGGTTAAGGTCAGCCCCCTAAACCCCTAAACCCGTAAACCCTAAACTCCTAAACCCGTAAACCCTAAACCCCGAAACCCCTAAACCCCTAAACCCTCAAAAACCTATGAGTTTTGTTTTTACTTTCTCTGGGTCTAACCTAAACCCCTAGCCCCTCAAACCTATGAGTTTTTTGGA